TGGATGGACTTCAACTCCCAGAATCCCCCATCCAGCTTGGTTTAAGAGGGATGGACTTCAACTCCCAGAGTCCCCCATCCAGCTTGGTTTAAGAGGGATGGACTTCCACTCCCAGAATCCCCCAGTCAGCATCCTTTAAGATGGATGGACTTCAACTCCCAGAGTCCCCCATCCAGCTTGGTTTAAGAGGGATGGACTTCCACTCCCAGAATCCCCCAGTCAGCATCCTTTAAGATGGATGGACTTCCACTCCCAGAATCCCCCAGTCAGCATCCTTTAAGATGGATGGACTTCAACTCCCAGAATCCCCCAGTCAGCATCCTTTAAGATGGATGGACTTCAACTCCCAGAATCCCCCAGACGGCTGAGGATTCTGGGAATTACCTGCTCCACCAAGAAGAGAGTGGAACCGCATCAGAAAACCCCATTTTTCCCCCCCTTCTTTGCAGGTGGTTCCATGGCTCCATCACTCGAGCCCAGGCCGAGAGCCGGTTGCAGCCATGTCCAGAAGCCGGCTACCTGGTGCGCACCAGCGAGATGGGCCCCACCAAGTATTCCATCGCCCTTAAGTGAGTGACCAAAAATCCCTGCTTGGCTCAGGAACCGAGTTCTAGACATCTGCCAATGTGTGCTTGCAGGTAGTCCTCAACTTACGACAGTTCATTTAGTGACTGAAGTTACAATGGCACTGAAAAAAGTGACTTAGGGTCGTTTTTTTTTTTACCCTTAACAATCCTTGTAGCCGGTGGTCAGGTGGCCAAAACTCAGGTGTTTGGCAACTGACTCGCATTTACGACGGTCGCTGCATCCCTGGCTCCTGTAGGTCCCCTTTTACGACCGTCTGACCTGACCAGCCAAGTTGAAACCAGATTCGCTGAACGTCCGTGTTCCTAACTTCACATCCGCCTTTGATTCCCTTAAACATCAGCGGCCAGAAAAGGTCGTGAGACGGAGCCAAATTCACTCCACAACTGTCTCACTTAGCAATGGAAATTTGTGGGGGGGGGGCCCTCTGTGGTGGGCATAAGTTGAGGGCTACCCCTTCAACCCCTTGGGGGCCGGGGGGGGGGGGGGAATTTGCAATCCTGATTCTTCTGTGCCTGTCTCCAAAACCGGAGCTGGGCGCGACCGCGTTTCCTTCCTGAGGATGCTGGACTTTGAAACAAATCAAGGAAAGAGAGGGGACTTTGGTGTGTGTGTGTGTGTGTGTTGGTGTGTGATTGTGTGCGAGAGTTGAGAATTGGGAACTCAGCTAGTGGGAAGGAAGGCTGGGGAGCCCACCCAAAAGAGCTGGCCCCTTTCTGATTCTCCCCCTTCCCTCTTTGGATTACAGGGATAAAAATAAAAAACATTCCATTTAAACATGCTTTGGACAAGGGAGGATTAGTTTGAAGAAGAACTTGGGTTTCTGTCAAAAGAAAGGATGCTTTGAAAAGAAAAAAATTTCTTTTAAAAAAGAAAAGGGTGCTTTAAAAAAGGTTTTTTTTTTAAAAAAAAAAGGATTTCTGCGAAAAGAGAATGCTTTAAAAAGAAACACATTCTTTTAAAAAAGAAAGGGTTGCTTTCAAAGGAAAGGATTTCTTTTAAAAAAAAGAAAGCATGAAATAAACTTTTCTTTTAAAAGGAAAGAGTTTTTTTTAATAAAAAAAGAAAGGATTTCTGTAAAAAGACAGTGTTTTAAAAAGAAAAACATTCTTTTAAAAAGAAAAGGGTGCTTTAAAAGGAAAGGGTTTATTTTTTTTTAAAAAAAGGAAAGGATTTCTGTCAAAGGAAAGAATGCTTTAAAGAGAAACAAATTCTTTTAAAAAGAAAAGGGTGCTTTAAAACAGAAGGATTTCTTTAAAAAGAAAGAGTTTTTTTAAAAAAAGGAAAGGACGTAATGTGGGTTCCAGACTGATGAGCTGTATTCAAATATTGGTCTAGCAAATGTTTTGTATGCTCTAGTTATTAGTGTAATATTACCAGAGATAATCTTTTTTTTGGTGGGGGGCTCTGTGTATCTCTCTCTCTCTCCCTCCCAGGACAAGCCAGGGTTGCGTCCACATCATTGTGGCCCAGACGAAGGACCATAAATACACTTTGGACCAAGCCGGCGGCCTCTTCGACACCGTCCCCCAAGTGGTTGGCTATTACTCCACCGAAAAACTCCCCTTCAAAGGAGCCGAACACATGACTCTCCGTTACCCGGTCTCGGTTCCCAGCAAAGCCCCCTAAATCCTCCCCTTTTAGGCCAGTTTGGAACTGGGGAAACGCGGTGGACGCCGGACCGTCGGTCCCGTTGGACGGAGACCTCGCCCAGCCTTCGCTTCGGCCGGAGACGGGGCTCCGACATTTCCTTCCTTCCTCCAGCGAATTTTATTCCCGCGTTTCCCGATGCGATAAGATAGGAATTTTGGGGTTCCCTCACCTGCCCACTTTAGTTCTACGCAAACTCAGAACTAAGGAGACATTTCCTGACCGTTGGAACAATTCATCAGTGGAACAATTTGCCTCCAGAAGTTGTAGATGCTCCAAGAAGATGTTGGACAGCCATTTTGTCTGAAGGGGTGTAGGGTTTCCTGTCTAAGTGGAGGGTTGGACTAGAAGATCTCCAAGGTCCCTTCCCACTCTGTTATCCTTCCTCCCTTCCTTCCCTTCTTTCCTTCCTTCCCTTCCTTCCTCCCTCCCTCCCTTCCTTCCTTCCCGTCTTTCCTTCCTTCCTCCACCCTCCCTCCCTCCCTTCCTTCCCTTCTTCCTTCCCTCCCTCCTTCCCTCCCTCCCCTTCCTCTGATGCTGGAGTTTTCAAAGAAGAGACGGGACAACCATTTTGTTCGAAGTGGTGGAGGGTTTCCTGCCTAAGCAAGGGGTTGGACTAGAAGACCTCCAAGGTCCCTGCCAAACTCTTGTTACTCTATTCTATTCTACTCTTTTGCTGGACGCTGAATTGAGAGGCATGGAATTGAAGCACCGTCGATCAGCAGCTGTTCAAAACTGACCCGGCTGCTTTTTCTCGAGCCAAATTCTTGGACTTTTCTTTTATGAGATTTATTGAGAAGAAAACAAAAGGGTTTTTGTTTTGTTTTGTTTTTTTAATCCCAGCAGTTCCAGTCATCACCATGAAAAGCCGTGGATTTTGCGTGGGCTAAACTGGGAGGTTTGGGTGTATTATTATTATTATTTTATTATTATTTTTATTTTCTTAATGGTTTCCTTATTGGAGGCAGATCGATCTCTTCGCCATTCCTCCAGAAATCAAATTAAAAAAAAACACTCAAAAGAGTTTCAATTTCTTTTTCTAGCATCTTAGCTCCAGATAAACATTGCCGATGGTTTTCCGTTTACATTCGTCCGATGTTACCACGGTGTTCTAAAATAGAGAAGGGATTTATGACCCTTTCTCGCACTTACGACCGTAATAGCATCCTCATGGCAACATGATCAAAAATTGGAGTTCTTTGTTAATTGGCAAATAGGACGGTTGCAGGATCTCAGGGGGATCACTTTCTTTTCTAATTTAAAAAAAAAAAAATCTTTATTGAAATTCAAGATATTAAAAAAAATTACAAAATACAAAAGATTCAAAAGATTTGCAAAAGCTTCTGTAGAAGAAATTACGTCCATCCCTTTCAACATCACTTTCTCAGCAGTACCGTCAATGCTGTAGATACACATAATATTTGACAGTTATTTATCGTATTAGTGATATTAATTCACAGTGCTTCGCTATTATTAATAAACAAAAATATTTCATCCTTAGAGGTCAATAGTTTCAAGCCTGCGAGATCTCCTGGTGGTCTCCCATCCCCATTAAAAGCAGATCTGTTTCAAGGGGAGGTAAAGAGAGACGCAGAAAATAGAATGAGGGAGATTTCCAGCCAGATTTCAGATTTGATTTCAGAGATCCTTAAGAGTGACTTGGGTTTCTCCTTCCCCTTTTAAGAAACACTGATCTATCCTGGTTGCATCTTGGTTTAAAAACCCCACGAGAAAAATCCACTGCTTTCTGACCACTTTTTTTTGTTTTTTGTTTTGTTTTAAATTAGTTTCGCTAGCTGCTTTGTGGCTTTGGCTAAAACTGGATTTGAGTCAATCTGAAAAGTGGATCAGCCCTCTGCTCTCTGGGGCACCCCACCCACCCACTTTCCTCTCTTGGCAGGATCAAACCCCGGCATTGTTTCGACTTCCTTCCCTCCCAATCTAAAAAAGACGTGTTGCTTTTTTGCGCAAAACTCCTGGCGCCTGTCTGGCTTTTCTTTGTAGACCGAAACTGATGGAAGTGGGGTGGTTTTTTTATTTATTTGTTTTTTGCTTTTTTCGGATGCAAACTCTGAATCGTGGTTTAGCTTGCTGCAACAATTCCCCACCATGCTTCTGCTTGGGTCCCTGAGGGGCATTGTGGGAAAAGCAGCTCCGTGGCTACGCAGCCCTCCTGTCAGGGTTGCTGGGTTGTTGTTGGGTAGAGTGGGGAAACTGGTTTCTGAAGTCCAAAATGGATGGCTGTGCAAAATGCAGACTTTGCTGTAAAATGGATGAAAGGGTGTGTTTTGAAAGAGGGTGGGATTGGTGGGGCAGGAAAGAAAGAAAGAAAAAAGAGGGAGGGAG